TAAATCAGCACAACATGCATTACTGGACTATTGAAAATCCGCGTTGACTCCGTAGTGTGGAATGGTTGGCAACAAAGTTAATGACGAAATGTACCGAGATATTTTGAAAAATAAACTGCCCACATTGGATTGGTAGAGCTGGTCCGGTTAGTTGGCCTGCTAGATCACCTGATCTTACTTCGCCGGATTTATTTTTGTGGGGCTATCTCAAAGACCGTGTGTATCAACAAGTACCATCAACCCAAAATTCTAGCAGATACGCTACTTGTGTAGACTTAGCGGGTTTATACAACTTCATATCATTAATTTATTTCCTAATTCACAATTTAGTGCATAGGCATAAAAGTTAAATCACACTATCTGCTATGAAACAGTTTATACAACGATTTAATACGTAAGTCACAATTTAGTGTTTATTGAATAACCTCGAAAGTTCAGAAAATTTAACTTTTATGAAATAAATTATAAATTATAAATAAGATGGAACAGCGCATGTGCCAACAACTTTTCTCTCTCCATTTTTTAAGGTTATAATTAATAATTATAATATATTGTGTTTTATGTTTGTGCCTTAAAAAATACTACAAAACATGAGTTTTAATGAGGGATTTTGTGTTATTTGTGACTTTTAATCATCAATATTGTTATTTGAAAAAATAAAATATATATATTAAATTAATGAATTGTATAAACCAGATTTTAAAGTAATGTATTATGTATTAAATTATGCATTAAATTAACAATTGAGTTATGAAATAAATTGTCCACTAAATTATTAATTATTGTATAAACCCGCCTTTATTTAAAATCCGATATACAGGGTGTTTCTTTTAACTTGAGACAGCTCAATATCTCGTGAAATACGCATTTCACGGAAAAATGCCTTGGATACAAGGTTAATGTGACCGATGGGGGCATTATTGGTGCTACCGCTAGCCACCCCTACCCCTCCTTAAGGGTGAAACGGGGGGTAACTGTATGATTGCTTTTGACGTATTCTATCCTTATCATGTATTTGGTCTTTTGAATAAATAAATATCTTTGGAAAGTCAAATGGGACGACCACATTTTTTTCACAGATTTTGGTAGTACATACAAAAATAAATAACTTTTATTTAAAACTTTTTTTAAATTTATCAAAAGATGGCGCTTTAATTCAAAATTTAAGAAAAATGGGTTTCCTTGTAAAATGTATTATTTGAAACGTTTGAAAAACAAAAATTAACATTAAATCAACAATAGTCGGCTCTGAAAACAATAACAAATGTTCGAAATGTCGTCCTTCCATTTCGACAAATTTTTGAATGCGGGTAATGAATTCTGGCACACTACGCGCCAACATGTCAGGCGTTCCTGATTCGCTCCACCATGTCCTCCCGAGTTGTAGGAATTGCAGCGTAAACTTTTTCTTTCAAGTAACCCCACAGGAAGAAGTCTGGTGGCGTAAGATTAGGTGATCGAGCAGGCCAACTTACTGGACCACGTCTTATCAGAACATAAGATCCACTGGCCATTGAACTCCCGATCCAACACCTCTAGAGCAATTGACGAATAATGCGCAGGATAACCATCATGACATTTCGAACATGTTAATTGTTTTCAGAGCCGACTATTGTTGATTTAATGTTAATTTTTGTTTTTCAAACGTTTCAAATAATACATTTTACAAGGAAATCCATTTTTCTTAATTTTGAATTAAAGCGCCATCTTTTGATAAATTTAAAAAAAGTTTCAAATGAAAGTTATTTATTTTTGTATGTACTACCAAAATCTGTGAAAAAAATGTGGTCATCCCATTTGACTTTCCAAAGTTACCCCCCGTTTCACCCTTAAGGAGGGGTAGGGGTGGCTAGCAGTAGCACCAAATAATGTCCCCTTCGATCACATTAACCTTTTATTCAAGACATTTTTCCGTGAAATGCGTATTTCTCGAGATATTGGGCTGTCTCAAGTTAAAAGAAACACCCTGTATACACTGTTTAAAATATCTGTGGTGTGAAGAGTAATCTTAAAATGGTGTCAAATCCAACACCAAGTGGTGTTAATATAACACCATGAATTATGGTTGAAAATGTTTTATACAGCAAACACCAAAACGGTGTTGATCTAAAAATATTTGAGAAGTGCACCTACACAGAAAAAAAGGAATAGGTAGTTAATTTAACCGAGAATTTAACTATATTATTTTAGTTGACCCATAAGTATTTATTTAAATCAACTGTGGGAAGGTTAATATAAACAAAGATTAGTTTGACGGTACTAAACCAGATAGTTATTTTAATATTTTTAAGTTGGTTAAATTAACCCAGAAAACTTTAGTGAAACCAACCCGCTGTATGGTTCAGTTTAATAAATATGTTGTTTGTAAAATAAGAGTTACTTCAACCTAAAGCACTCTGTTAAAACAATTTGCCGTGCATTCCCTGTTGCATAGTGTGTACCGATCGCGGCAAAGGCGGTGTGGATCACGTGATGTTCTTAAATCTTGCCTCTGTTGACTTACATGAAGAGTATATAAGCTCAGGTTGTCCTTTGCTTTGGTGTGACCTTCGGTCATCTATGGGTGTGACACTACAACAGCTGTCAATATTTGAAGTATTTTAAGTTAGTGGAACGCACTAAAAACATTATCTCTAGCGAGTTGAAGGTTCAATTTTCTGGAATAATACCACTGGTAATATACTTGTTATGCGTCAAGGAACTTCCTGTTTCTTTTTTTTCCTTTTTTTCTGTGTAGTATGATTTAATTTGACCAAAAACACATTATATTTAACACTGAAAAGGAGTTCAATTTACACCAGGTAAAATTTATTTTAATACTGTGTGAAAGTTAAATTTACACCATTTTAGTATTTGAATTTACACTGGACCAACGAACCATATTTAACACCATTTTGGTTTGTATCGATATAGATCATGTATGGTGTTAATTTGGTGTTAAAATGGTCATGACATTTTGAACAGTGTAAGTGTATTAAAGTCGAAGGCCACCATTTTGAGCACCTACTTTAATAAAAATTCAAAAAATAAAAATTGTTTGAGCTAAATTTATATTATTAACAAGTATTTTATAGAAAAATTATTGCAGAATAGTATACAAAAGAAAAATCGAACAAAATAAGGTGCACCAAGTATCCTTCTATTTTATATGTAATACACATTGTGTGTACTTCTATTTTTTCATTTGAAAAATTACAAGGTCGGTTAAATAAGATAAAAGTTGCGTATATACTAGTATTTAAATCCGGATACGGATACATCCAGATCAGGTTTTTTTTCAAGGAACCGGATTCGGATCTCAGATCTGGATCCGATATCCGGATATCGAATCCAGATCCGGATATCGGATCTTAGATCCGGATATCGAATCTTAGATCCGGATATCGAATCTTAGATCCGGATATCAGATCTTAGATCCGGATCTAAGATCTGGATATTGGATCTTACTTTAACATTATTGTATTATAAACAAAAAAAATATTCTACAGTACAGTACCTATATTTAATATTCTTAAGAAGAGATCAAATAGCAAATAAGAGTCAATAATAAGAATCTTTGGTATCAAAAATAATAATTAATTTGTAAATTATTAACTTTATTTCGCATGACATCTTAAGTTTGTCTTGGTGAACAATCGACGTAGTTTTTGTTAAAAGAGAAGCGACCAAATATTTTTGTATGGAGAAAATAGACTTAGAATTAACTAATGAATGATATTATATATATTATAAATTATATTATTATTATTAATTATAACCATATTGTTAAGAAAAAACTTTTTTAAGCAGTTGTGTATTCGGATTTCGGATCTTTGCTCCGGATCTGATCCGGATTGAAAAAGATCCGGATCTGATCCGGATTGAAAAAGATCCGGATCTGATCCGGATTGAAAAAGATCCGGATCTGATGTTTAGCACTACAAAGATCCAGTATTCGGATCTTTGATCCATATTTCGGAACTTTGCTCCGAATCTAAAATCGGAGTATTATATCCGGATAGATCCGGAACCGGATTATGCACGTTGAAAAATCCGGATCAGATCCGGATCTAATCCGGATTGAAAAAGGATCCGGATCTAATGTTCAGCACTAGTATATACAAGACTATTAACATTAAATTTATAATTTGAAGAAAAAAACAGCGCTTATTAAAACATTTCAAAAAGACTAAAAACCTTTTAAAACCAAAAATAACTTTGTTATACAAGAGTTATGTTTTTTAAGTTTTGGTTTGCTATGGTGTCTGAACCTATAGTAATACTATGAAAGGTACAGATAGGCCACTTCATGAGGTAATAAAATGGACCAGTTAATACGTACGGTAGTTTAATACATTGATGGAGTCCTTGATTTTTTTTTCATCTTGCCATGTAAAATTTTAATATGGCGGCCATAGGCAAAAACAAAAGGTGGTGGTGGTGGTATCTTAAAATCTAGTAGGAAAAAAATTACAAATTTGACGAAAATGTGGATAAATGTGTTTGATTATATGTTAAACTTACTTTTTTTCAAAATTTCCAGTAACGATTTTTTATTTTTCAGTTTTTAATTATTTGAGAAACGCTGATTTTTTTTCCAATTTTTAAATGCAATTTTAGTAGACTCGTAATAACGAAACTTTTGTCTTATTTAACCGACCTTATAGGTTTTCAAATAAAAAAGATACCCATACATAGAAGGATACTGGGTGCACCCTGTATTTTACCGGAAACTAAACTGTTCGTTTAGTTTATTTAATTTATATTTTGGTATTGGCTGTCCCTACCCTAAGGTGAAATTACTTATTTATACTTGAGTAAGCTGGCTTGTATTGATACAAATTTTCTTGTTTTTACCTTTACTTTTAATTAGCATTTTTCATTAGCAAAAGTACAGTTTTCTTGATACATCTTACAAAACCACAAAAAGCCTTAATCTTAAGATCAAAGAAAATCTCACCGTGTTTTTTTCTCTTTAAAAGGTAATATTCTAAAAAAACAAATTTATTTCTAATTTTCAGGTAACTGGAGTTGTGGGCAGGGCCGAAACACTTTCATCTGTATTTTTTTTGGCCGCTTTCATTTTGTACACCAAGGCAACCCGCAGCAAAAAATACGCAGGTATGTAGGAAAAATATTACCGATATTGTATTTGCCAATTAAAGAAAATGAATGGGCAAATTACGGTGTCAGTGCATTGTCCATAACAGGAACATATTATTATTATTATATCATAAAAATATTGTATCTACTACATTGACAAACTGTGACCTTATGGCGTTTTAGTCACAAGGTGAAGTTAGCTTTATTATAAATTGGGGAAAAATGAGGTTAAATCCGTTGACATTTGACAGATGTCAAATGTTAAAAAATTAAAATGGCTTTAAATTCTTCTTTATGTTCGTCGTAGATAAAGTATAGTATGCAACTCGTTTTATAAACTCCTCTAGACACTTGTTTTTATTAAACACTCGCTTGCAAGCTTCGCTCGTGCCTAATAAAACTCGTAACTAAAATTGCATTTATAAAGCTTGATACATAATATACTATTATCTACTCCTACATTGACGAGCTGTGACTTTATGGCGTTTAAGTCACGGGCTGAAGTTAGCAATAGTGGCTTTTGGGCATTTTAGTCACGGGCTGAAGTAAGTTCAACTATAAATTGGGGAAAAGTGAGGTTAAATCCGTTGACATTTGACAGTTGTAAAATGTTTAACAAATAAAATTGGCTTTAAATTCTTATTTGTGTTCGTCCTAGATAAAGTATAGTATGCAAGTCGTTTTATAAACTTCTCTAGACACTCGTTTTTATTAAACACTTGCTTGCAAGCTTCGCTCGTGCCTAATAAAACTCGTTACTAAAATGACATTTATTAAACTTGCTACATAATATACTATTAAAGAAAAACTTTTTAACATTTCAACTATTTCGCAGTGCATTTTTATATTATAAACTGTAAAAGTCAAAGTAACGAAAAAAAAAGTATATTTTAGATTAATAGTTTGATAATTTATTTTGGTTATAAAATCTCGCTCGCTTGAATGATAAAAGGGTCTAATTATTTCCCGTATTAGTACACTAAGCTTTTGTGTTCAAGCACCTGCATCTAAAAATGGCAGGACGACTAGCAGGAGTTATGAATTAAAAAGGAGGAACATTTCTTTTGTTTTATTTTCAAATTAAAACGGAGGTTTTTAGCACTGAATAAGCAACAATGAGTTTTTAGTTATTCAGTTATTTAATAAGTTATTAATATGCGAAAACTTTTACAATGCAGAAAGTTTAATTTTGCGGAAATTATAAATGTATGGCTTTTTATTAAAATAATAAAAAAGATTATTATTAAAACAACAAGCCTTTGAAAAGCATTTATTTTGTTTTATAATTGGCATAAATTAGTTGTTGTTTACAAATCCTAATTACTTAGGTACTTTGAATATTTGGACGTTTTTTTAGTTTTTCGCTGGCGCTTTTACCAAAACTATTGTGAACAACTTGTATTTAAAAAGGAATTTTTAGTTTTGCAATTAATAATTTAACATCTTGGGTCGAAAAATATCATTAACAAATTAACTAATTTATATTCTATTTACGAAACAAACGTAATTACGTTGAACTTATAAAATATTATTATAAATTCAAAAGTGAGCTGTACTCAGCTTTGCTGTTCTCTCTACACAACTCCGAGCTTTAATCAAAAAGCTTTTCGTCGCACACTTAATAAAATTGAGTCATAAAAGTAAAATAACCCAATTTTGAATAAATAGCCTTTAAAAGTTTTCATGCTTTCATCTTTCACTCACATATTTACATTCAAATCCACACATTTCGAATAAATGTCTAATCTGCATTCGGTCTGAGTTTATAATTTATAGAAAATGAGTGAAGTTTTAAATGACATATCTCACAAACACATTTAAAATTTAAAACATATTTTTGGAGCCCCTTATTTAAAAAAAATAGTTACCCACTGACTTCTTTACTTTTTAATAGCAAATTTGTTAAACATGTAAATGACCAAATAAGCAAGTAAAATAATCCAGTATGATATTGCGGATTTTAAAACAAAATAAATAAATAATCTGTCAAATTGATAACTGATATTTTTAAAATTTTAACACCTATAGGTGTATATATATATATCTTTTAAACAAAGCAGTCGCTTGGCCAACCTAACTTTTTCCCAATTTAAAACCCCATTGGTTAAAATTTTAGTGAATATTAAAATTGGCCAATCAATAATGCCTATAACAGCGTGAATAATGAGTTGATTATTTTCATTGTTAGGATGGGCAGTTATGAAAGTTAGGCAGTTATATATGAAAAAAAAACAAATAATGTCAATAATAAATCTACAATATATTGTAAGAGTAGAAAAACACATTTACTAAAATAATAAAATATATTTCTAAATGGCATGGTGTCGGTCATTTACTTAATCGAAAAAAAATGCAAATTTAAGGCGTTTCAGATTATATTTATTTGACAGTAAACACGAAACTTATTCCAAGCTTTCAGTGTGTGATATATAAATTCCTAATTTACAAATTATATAAATTCTGTTCTAACATGCAACTTCCGGAAAGGGACCCTAAAATTTAGCTTGTAAGCTAAACAAAGCATACTCTATAGAGTGTGGAGTCGTTCAAATTAATGAAATTTTTTTTTATCTTGACATATATTTTAGACTTTCTTGTTTATATACATGGTGTCTCAAAGGGGCGTAGCTCCATTATAAAGTATTTTTGACCCCACGTTCTTAGGTACTTTTTTATACTTTAAACTGTAGAATCACCTTTTAAATGGGGAATGGGGTTGGCAAAATCAGTGTGAAACCTCTTCAATTATTTAGATTATTCAATAAAACAACCATACCCATGGGGGAAAACACAATTACTATAAAGGCCGGCAAAATAAAATTTAAAAACATTTCATTTTGTAAATATTGTTTTAAGTCAAATACTTTATCCAAGGATTATTGGTAATGTCCTAATTAAACGAAAAAAAAAATAAATTATACAATATCTTAACCCCATAGAAAGCATGTTTTAACAAAGTAAAATCTTGTTTTAGACAAAAACTCGGCAATTTTTACTGTTACGCGAACAATTTTTCTCCAATTTCAATAAAATTTACAAAATTTATATCCTTGTATATTAAAATTTCAAAGGAATTAAATAAAAATTGTTAAAATGACACTCAAATCAACCGCGCGTGTCAACATTGGTGGTTAAGGTCACTTTTGTTCTGGCGCGTGTTCTTCTCTTAAAAAAATTGTGAACAAAAGTTGCTAATCAATGGTTTAATCATCTAATATATTAGAATATATTTCTTATAAAAAAGTTAACCATTTTTTAACATTAATTTTAGCAGTGACTTGTCCAAGAATGTTTTGTATATTTTTTAAACATGTTAAATAGTGTCATTGTTTTTTGTTATAAAAGGTGTCCCTAAACTTGGTGGCATAAATTTAGGAGCACATTAAGCAAGTCAAAATAAGACGAAAATCTAAATAAATATTTTTCCTAATTACGTATGTTTAAAAAAGATACAGGGTGATAAAGTGTTACTTATCATATCAGTTTTTTTTATATAACATCTATAGTATACTATGGTAGACTTGGAAAGGTGACATTAACCACCAAAAGACATATTCACACATAATTACAATTGTTTGAGTGAACGCAGTGTCGTAGAAACAGGGGTTGCTTAAGCTTTTTGTCCCATACAAACTTTGAGGTTAGGTTTTTATAACATTTGATGCAATTTTTCGATTACTCAGTTCAGTTAAAAAATAAAATTTGTTATCATATACCTTTTAATCCTTTTAAATAATGCGATATAACAATTATTGTAATCTCGAATATCTCGAAAACGGTTTATTTTTAATAGTAGCCGAACTGAATAATCGAAAAATTGCATCAAATCTTATAAAAACCTAACCTCAAAGTTTGTATGGGATAATAAGCTTAAATCAACCCTCGTTTCTACGACACTGTGTTCACTCAAACAATTGTAATTTTGTGTGAATATGTGTTTTGGTAGTAAGTGACTGTTCGCAAAATATCACCTTTCCAAGACTACCATAGTAGAAGTTATATTTAAAAAACTGATATGATAAGTAACACCCTGTATCTTGGAAACATAAGTAATTAGGAATAGTATATTAAAGTACAAGTTGCAGAAGGCCACATATTCTCGCACGAATTCGAAATTTGGCCTCGAGCGACGAAGGAGCGAGTGGACGAACGAATGAGTGCGAGAATAGCCTTCTGCAACGTGTGATTTATACTATTTTCTCGATTTTAACTTTTATTTAGGTTTTTTTAAATGTTTTGTGGTCGTTGTTAGTTGGGGGATTTTTCTCGCAAAATGTCAGTTGGCAACACAAAATGACAGTTGCATGGACAGGTAGATTTATTTTTATTTACTATTTATTAATAATTATTATAATCTGTCTGTATTTGTCAACTGGATAATAAGGTTTTGTGTAAGTATTGTATTATTTTTTAATGTTTTCTGATATTTTTGAACAATTGTGTTTACTTTTAGCAGTAAAAAATGTCACAGGAGGTTTTACAAGCAACACTGAACATTACAATAAAAGTTTATAACAATTGTGCTAGTGATTAATTTATAGTAGTTTTGTGTTTTGTGTACTGTGGGTATATAATATTTCCAATAAAATATAGTTTGATTGACCTGTCTGGCTCATTTATTTGTCAATAGTTGTTATCCTGCACAAGTACCACTGAACTGCACTTTTTCACATTAAACTTAATTAATTTTGCATTAAAATGCATTGTTGGAGCAAACTTAATATAACAAAACAATAATAAAGGCTTCATTTTCAATAAAAGTGTAGTTCAGGTTGCACTAGTGCAGGATAACAAACAAAGCTATTATAAATAATCCTAAAAGTAATGAATTTGAGGTTATTAAACAGTTTGACATTTTGGGGGTACCAATACTTAAAAACTAAATGTTACCAAAAATCGTTTAAGAATGAGCTTCATTCTTCAACGATTTTGCGTGCGAGAATATGACATTCTTACATAAAAATCGAGAAAAATATTTATTTAGGTTTTCGTCTTATTTTGACTCAATCTTTTCCTAA